CTGGAGAAACAAACACAAACAACAGCAGCATCAGACAGAAGCGGAAACAGTGTCAGAATACCAGTATGAGAGGAAATGCCGCACTAGCTAGCAAAAAGTGCTATCAGGAACTATGTCTCCTTTACGAAACAAGAGTGAAGATTCGAGAAAATCAGCTGCGTGTGCGGAGCATGAAGGCTTTCGCTGGACCCATTCGATTAGGTCATCCAGACGGTCAGATCTTTAACAATGAGATGGCGCATGCACTATGTGAGCGTCGCAATCTGCATATCAGACGACAGCTTCTGCTCATGCAACTGCGCCAAAGAACTCGAAATAATTTGATACGGAACCGTAATCTGCTACCAGTGGCGAGCACCGAAAGCACTTCTCTGGTGTGATCAAAAGTTAGATACATCGAATCAGGCTTATCACTTTGTACACTGGCACTAATCTGTCTCGACAAATGAACTGGCCAAATTTAAAGCATACCCGTCAAATCTATAGCTATAGTACACGATTTCTTGCAATAGACTGCTGCAGGCGTATGATGAGTCAAGGCGAGGGGTTTGTCGTGAAAACTTGTGTTACCCAACAACACAGAAAAAAGATGAATTTCAGACAAATCACTTTCTCAGTTCACTCGGTTCCAGAACAGTCATAGGTTAGAGAACAGTGAATATGAAAACTGATTTTCAGATCGTTCGCATTGATTCATGCGGTGAACTAAGATTTAATAATTTCAAGATTCTAGCTCTCTGTCTCACTCTGAATTCAAACCCAGGCTTGCCTGGTGCAATGATGCGTTTTTGCACTTTTCGTGCCGTAGCAAGATCGCGAGGAATCACAGTAGTTAACCCTGTGACATACTGGCTCTCAAAGTTCGAGAATTTAATTGTGCAGCTATGTGGTATGTCAGTTGTAAATGTCGTTTTCAGTGACCCGACAAATGGAAAGTTGCTGACCAGCGAAAAAGGCCGCACTAGAAGAGTTAAATTTGAAATGTTTTAGTCACACATGAAATTAAAGCCTTCAGCTTTTCCGTCCCCGAGTTATCAGTTTTCCCATCAGAATTTTTACGTTTCCGTACGTGAGTACCGAACGGTTTTAAGGAGCTGAATTTGAAAACTCTTGGTCACATATGTGTAGCGAACATTACCCTAAAGTTTCGGCTTTCTAACTTTTCCCGTTCGCGGGTTAATGATTTTCGCACCAAAATTACCATGTGCCCGTGAGCCGGCCCGGGGCGCTTCTAAACACCTGATTTTGCTTGTACATGAGTAGGGAACATTGCCTTAAAGTTTCAACTTTCCAGCTTTTCCCGTCCCCGGGTTAGTAATTTCCGCGCCAAAACTTTCACGTGTTGCGTACGTGGGTCTCGGGCGCCTTTAAACAACTGATTTTGGTTGCACATGAGTAAGAAAGTTTCCCGTAAAATTTCAGCTTTCTAGCTTTTTTTGTTCCCGGGTTAGTGACGCGCCAGAATTTCCACATACCCGTACGTGCGCCCTGGATGCTTCTAAACACCTGATTTTGGTTGTACATAAGTAGGAAATATTCCCCGGAAGTTTCAGCTTCCTAGCTTTTTCCGTTCCCGGGTTAGTAAGTTTCGCGCCAAAATCCCCACGCTCTCATACATGGGCGCGGGCGCCTCTAAACACCTGATTTTGCTCGCACATGAGTAGGGAACACTGCCATAAAGTTTAAACTTTCTAGCTCTTCCCGTTCCCGGGCTAGTAGTTTTCGCGCCAAAATTTCCACGTGCCCGCACGTGGGCCCGGATTCTTCTAAACACCTGATTTTGCTCGCACATGAGTAGGGGACATTGCGATTAAGTTTCAGCCTTCTAGCTCTTCCCGTTCGCGGGTTAGTAATTTCTGCGCCAAAAAATTCACACGGCTGTGCGTGAGCCCCGGGCGGTCCTAAGCAGCTGAGTTTGAAATCTTTTGGTCGAGAGTAGGGGACATTCCCCCAAAGTTTCAACTTTCTAGCTCATCTCATTTCCGAGTTATGAATTTTCTTGCCATAATTTTCACATGCCCATACGTAAATCCCGGGCAGTCCTGGGCAACTGAATTTGAAATCTTTTTGTCATACACGAATAGGGAACATTACCCTAAAGTTCCAGCATCCTAGCTTTTCTCGTTTCCGAGTTAGCAATTTTCTCGCCATAACTTTCACATGCTTGTACATGGGGCCCAGACGTGCGTGTGATTTGATACCGCGGTCCTGAGGTGGCACTTGGCTGGGGAACATACTACCAAATTTCAGCTTTAAAGCCTGCATGGTTGGCGAGTTGAAATACCCGGACAGACGAACACACACACACGCACACGCACACACGCACACATACACAAATGCACACACACACACACTGAAGGGTCGTTGCAATATGCGCTTTTGCTGCCTGTTGAAAACGCATAAAAACCGCTTTAAATTTAGGCTCTGCGTCAGAAGTCGGAAAACAGCGCAGTTTAAATGTAATTTTATGCTGTTAGTCACATATTATTTGAAGATTCAGTGTTTCAAAATTTCCTACTTGCAGCTTCCTCTTTGTTGGGTATAAAATTGTTTAGAAATTGAAAATGAGATTACAAATCAAAAAGATGAGACACTATGGTACGGCTACATGGCAGTGAACTACATTCCTAAAATTTCAACACCTTAGCTTTTGCAGTTCTGGTTTTAATCACCGAGCTATATTACATAAGACGACAATACGCTTTTAATACATGCAAAGTTGCATACGACATTTTTACCCGTTTCTGTGCTGCAGAGGCGAATTATGTTTGTCAATCCATGTATTTCAGCATCAAATCCAAGAAACTTGAAAAGTTGAAATTTTGTGAACAACTGATCCAACTTCAACCCTGTTTTCGCGAAAAAAAAAACAGGGTAGGAGGTCGGGGAACTGTTTACAAAACTTGTGCAAATGCAAAAAAGCATATCGGCAAGAATATTTTTCAACTTGAGAACCAAAGAAGAGTAAAAATTTTTATGAGATGGGGTTGTTTTACGTGTGTGGATCGCTATGTGGGGTGGTGCATAGACTGGAGGGCTAATTAGATAATGATAGTTTTATGTCTTACTTATTGCAGCGCAGACAATAGCAATAATACACAAGACGTGATGCTTGGGCTCTGACGAACAGGCTGGCCTGCTGAGTAGGAGTTTCGACAACGGGGTTCCGAGGTGGAGTAGTCCTTTCGCGAGGGGAGCCGAGTTCCTGTTATGTCCGCAGATACGGTCGGCGAGAGTCGTAGCTGGCGTGCCGGGGTTGGCAGGTCGCCGTTGGTCCATGAAAACTAAGGCCTCGAAGAAAGGTGAAGAGGTTTATAAAGGGAGTTGGGGCCCGCCTCATGGGATGATGTAATAATTTGGAGGAATTTAGGAATTTTGGGGAAATGGGAAATACAAGCGGATGATAAAGGAAAAGCGTAGGGGCCAAAAGAAGGAAGATGATAAGTGGAAAACGAAATGGCTTGTGTAGGTATGAAAAAGAGGGTAGGTCAAAATTGAGGAAAATTGTAAACACACAGGAATGCAATTGGCACTCCTGAGTTATAGGCTAGAAAAAGGAAAAAAAGACATTACATAATTTTATAATTAAAACTACATATTTTTGAGGAGCTGGAACTTTTGGAAATGTGCCCATCCCACGTGCAAGCCCCCCATTTTGATATTATCACTCGCGTATGTCCCTGCGACCTTTACAAGTATTCGTCAGACTAGCGTGCATGCCCTACTTGTGTGTGTGTGTGCGTGTGTGGTGAAGTACAGAAACACCTAGTTATAGGATGTATATATATTTATAATTGCGGCGTATTTGGCGCCTTTCTTGTGATCAAGATAGGAAGATGTGCAGAGGCGAATAAAACAGATGATTTATTTAGTATATTTACGTGTAGTAATACAGTAATAATTCAAGTTGCCCGGCTGGGCAGAAGGAGGAACAGACGATTCCTTGAACAAGACTGGACGTGACCAGGAAAGGAGCATACAATCGTTGGAAGGCAGCCGAGGAGCAGTCGAGACTTTGTGGTGAAGGAGGCCGATGGACGAGACAACGTTACGTAGAGACAGCTGAGGACCGGTCGAGCAGTAGAATACGAAAAACAAGAACGGACAGGAGACAAGATACGGGGGCTTTCGTAGGGTCCAAGAAACACCTTACGGCCCTCTGGCGATCAGGCGTCAGGAATGTAACGAGGAATTAAAAGCATCATGAGAAAAAACGAGGTTTCGGGAAATATCGCCGGTACTACAGCCGGTGATGAAACAGATAGATAAAAAGGTATTTTACATAAAAAACTAAATAAAGTACACTTGACATAAAAAATACACACTACATTACTCATACACACAGCATGAAAAATGTAATATTAATATATACAACAAAAAATACGTAATATTAACATAAATTATCGCCTTTTGGCGACAATAATTATAGACAGCAATCTATAGTTATGCAAAGAAAACTGCAATAGAAGAGGAGAATAAAAGTGGCGAGGCTCTGGGGAATTGAAGCTCCCCAGAACAGGGTTGTATGAAGAAACAGCAACGCTAAATGTCACAGACGGGAAGGAGTGCTTTTATACTGCGGTGACCACAGATCACAAAGACTGCGTAACTCTAAAGGGGGTAGGGTGTCCAAAGATTGAACCAAGGACCAGAGGCGTTGTATCATAATGATGTGATGGCTTATACAATTTTAACAAAAAACAGCAAACCATTATGTGACAACACTTAGGGTTCACGTGCGGATGCCTGAAAGAAAACGCGTAAATTTTTCGGCGAGAAAGCGATGTGAAGAATCAGACAAGACAGAAAGCTGAAATTTCACAGGGATGTTCCATGCCTTACTGCGATTACAGATTTCAAATTCACTAAAAACGAGGGCACGCAGAAATGGAAACAGCTTTGATTTACGTCTGTATCACGTGTTCGGTTACACCAAAGACATTTTTAACGAAAAACGTTTCCGCTAACCAATCAAGAAGCTGAAATTTTACGAGAATATTCTACGCCTCAAATTCAACCTTAAAGCATGCCCAGGTTTCACATGTGCGCAAGCGAATTTTTAGTTCGATACGCTGTTGTCGTTCAATTAGCTCAGCAACCAGACTGAGCAGGAAGCAGTAAAAACCGTATTCATTTCGAAAATGTATGCTATTCATGTGCAGGTCAGCCAAGCGTAAGATGAACTTCTGCCTAAGCAACAGCCCTGGGTACAGCCGCATTAAATGTACAAACCGCGACGCCGCAGTCACACCCCGGTAGTACAAGCGATCTCTCTATGCAAAGGAATCATGCAAAAACGCACGATCACACGGCCAAACTTGATTTTGGCTTGTCCGATCATGGAATGAAAACCTGCAATCTGTATGTGAATTCTATATATGCACATACATGTACAAATACCCAAAAATCCTGTTTCAACAATGCGCAGTTCGATACTTGCATGAATGCAAAAAGTGCGTAGAAATCTCAGTTTCACTGGGATGGGTGCATCGCAGTGCCTCTCCTTCTCCCTGTTCCACGTCGGCCTTCTTCCCTCTTTCTTCGCCATTTACGCACTCTTTCGCAAATTTTGTGTGGTTGACTCATCTCGTCAGACTCATCGTTTCGACTAAGATGCACAAAACGGATGCACTTCCCAGTAATATGAAAGTTATCACAGTGAACTGGCTCCTTTTGCTGTCCCCATCGATGCACCGTCACATTGCCCATTTCCATATTCATATCATTATCACAGTTTATCAGTATGCCTGAAAACACACCATTGTCACCGTAACTCGCTTTTTTTTTTGGTTTTGATTTTACAGTTAAATGCGCGTTATTTTCTGTAAGGGTTCCCGCATGTTTCATTTGGAACATACCGTTCCAAAGCAGCGCGCAGCCAGACTAATCAGCGCTTAAAAGTATAAGCATCCCACAGAAAAATCTTTTCAAATCCTCAGAAGCTTCCTCCAACACACGAAAATGTTTCTGACCTATGCAACAAGTTAAGGCAACCAGCCGCATTTGTGCCGCGACGTACCTGTTTCAAGCGCCTAAATTACGCAACATGTGTAGATGGTGGAACCAACATTTTTCGGGAACCACTAACCTTCAACAACCGAATAATCCTTGAGATCGACGGCTATCGAAAAGCCTTGCATACAGTTCAAGAAATGAATGGGCGTTACCGCGCTACGTTGTTGCTTCCTCGAACCCACAAACTTTGACATAATCTGAATTTAGTTCGAATTAAAAAAAAAAGACAAAACTTTGTTTCCCTACAGAAATTTTCGTTTCTGCGTTTCTCGAATCACGAGAATCATGGTACCGTGACGCTTTTTAGATCAGTATTAAAGACCGACGTCGCACTGTCTTTGAGCAGGAAGACGGAGATCCATTAAACAGTCAAAGTTTGATCGAGAATATCAAGTTGGGCTAAACCGAGACAAAGACCTCATTTTGAAGAGGACTGCATCACTTTCGATCTAGTTTAAGCTCGAATAAATTAAATCGCGATCTGTGCCCTTCACTATGCTCTTCGAGAAGTACAGCTTTTACTAAAACACTGAATTCCTCGCAAGCAATGCGACCATGCGTTTTCGCATGACTCCATCCTATAGAGAGATTGTTGTAACCGCATGCTGGGCTCATACCTGGGCAGAAGCTCATCTTTTTGCTTAGTGGCCGGAAAATGAACGGCAAAAATCTTCAGAAAAATTATGCTCCCTGCTCAATCTGCTTACCAAGTTAACAGGGTGTCAGCAGTGTTCCAAACTAAATATTCACTTTTGCTCACACGAGATTTAGGCGTGCGAAATTCAGGTCACGCATATTGGCACGGAAGATCTTTGTGAGATTTTAGCTCTCTAGTCTGAGGGTCGCTTTTCGCTACATACATCTTTATCGGTCCGAACGTGCGATACAGGCATAAGTCAGAGCTTAAGCCTGCATGTCTACGTATGGCAAAAAGTGTTCTCTTAAAGCTACAGCGCTCTCGTCGGCTTAGTTTCTGAACTGGCATTTTCCTAGCAGTTATGAAATGTCAATTTTAACGTGCCCTTACATGTGATGCTGAATCAGGAATGTGCAGCTCAGGAAAGACCAAAGAAAGTCCCTGTGAAATCTCACATTTCTGCCTGCTCCATTTCCCAAATTTGCTTTCCCACCAAAACATCTACAAATTTTCATCTACGCGTTCGTATATGACACCCAAGCGTACATGAATGATAATACTACCTGGGTTGCGATGCACCAGGCTTGTAGGTGCAATTATGCGTTTTCACGCTAAACCTAGCGTAGTCAGACAGCTAACTGTATGAATGGCTGTTGCTTTACATTTAACACTGCACTCATCACTCTAAATTTTGCATAAAGGAAAATGCATAATTCCCGTTGACCGGTCGTTCATTACAAATGAACTAACTGTTCTAGTCCCCGAGTCAGCAGTTTCCTTGCCAAAAATATCGCGTGTCCGTACGTGAGAGTCAGGTGCAATTAGAGGCTGGATTTGAAATCTTTAGATCGCACGTAGACAGAGAATGCTTTGCCAAAATTTCAGCTTCCTAGCCTACCTGCTTTCCGAGTTGGAAATTTTTCTACCAAAAATTTCCCATGCCTGTTTGTGGGACTCAGAATTGCTTGAAATTTGCTACAACGTTCCTATGACAGCACTCGAACATACTGGAAAAATTGCAGCACCAAAGCTTGCCTGGATGCGAAGTTGAAATACTTGAACAAATATAAACATACATATATATATATATATATATATATATATACAAAAATATAAACATACGTATATATATACATACATACATACATACATACATACATACATACATACATACATACATACATATGTATATACATATATATACATGTATATATATGTATATATATGTATACATATGCATATGAAGAGGCAGCCAGGCAGATAAACACACAAGCAAACATACAAACACGATGGGTAAGCACAATCTGCGTTTTTGCGTTTGCATAAATATGCAAAAACGCATAATGAAGATAAGCGTCCCGATTTAATTTGTTGTAATCTCACCTGAGGCAAAGTTTTCGGACTTAAAATGAATGCCCCTCAAATCTTCTTTAGCGTCACTCCAGGCGAAGCAGCCTATAAAAATGAAGGATCGGAGAACTGCAAACGCAAGTCCACAGCCGTTCAGATTTGCTGCCTGCACACAGCCTAGCGCGCCGATGCTAGCAGGGCAAACCTGAAAATTCTCAGCGGAATCTTTCTGGTGCAATTATTATGCATGTAATGAGAATAGCAAACTGCAAGTAGATACGTCTGAAATTACCCGCCCCGAGTAAATTCCAGGAAATATGTGCGGTGAAAAGCCAAAAGCACTCTGTTCCCACACTCCGCGCGAAGCGGATGTACAATCGGGCAATAGCACACGCTGCTAGGACTCCCAATGACTCCATCTTTCGAGGGCTCCTTATAGGCAAGCCAATATCGGGTTTTACCTTTGGTATGCGCCAATGCCAATTTATCCTCGGAAAGAGTAAAGGAATGTCTGCCTTAGCAGCAGAGGCCTGCATAAAAGCAACACTACCTACCGCCTGTACAGCGCCGCAAGTTAATATTCGTGGAAAACTTTGTGACTGCTTCACCTATCCACCCCAACATCTCGAACTCTCTACACTTGACTGAGCGCTCCACAAAAATCTCCGCTTTATCGATAGCATTCTTTTTTCTTTTTTTACACTTTTCAGCTAAATTTTAGACCTCAAATTCCACCCGCCCTCTGTTTCTGTCCGCATTTGGCGCACAAAACCTTTTATCACGTCTTTTCACCTACTCTTCTGCCCTCAAACAGGCCTCAAAAGAGATGTCTTAGAGTTCGCAAAGGAAAAGCCGAGGACTCGTTGACTGGGAAGGCCTCGATTGGAAGGAAAAGTTGGAAACCAAATGCTAAACTCTACCTCCCCAACCCAACCTCATACAAAACGGCAATTACAAAAACTCGGCTCGGCTGGAGAGCTATGGTGCTTTGGCCTTCCATCGCCTTGCCCTATCATCTCTGCCAACACTATTTCGCGGCGTCGCTCGCTGGGACTTTGCTAGGCGCACTGGATGGCGCTGCCCAGTGTTTAGCGGTTGAGTCGCGTGGCCGGGAGAGGGGGAGGGGGTGATGGGAGGGAGGATTGGACGCGGTTAGAGGGTGTTTGTTGGTAGTTGCCTAGAAACAGCTTAGGGGGCGCGATTGAGGCCAAACAATGGGGAGGGATGAAGTTGCTGGTTATGAGTTCAGGAAGATAAACGGTGACGGCGGTTGGAGGTGGTGGATGCCCTGGTGCTCTGGAGGCAGGAACTGGGGACAGGCTACAGGAGGAGAAGAATGCTAGTCAGGAGTTCCAAGCAAGAACTACAGATAGCAGTAAAGAGGAAAATAAACCAATATGGCACTACAAAAAAAGCAAATTAAACCAGACTTGAATTTGTGAATAAAAGGAAAAAAAGCAAAATCAATGAAGCTTATGCTTAGGTGAAGCACAGCATATAAGTTCGACAGGATTCACTGAAAATTATGCTTAAGTGGAGCTGAGGACAAATAAGTTCGACAGGATTTGCTGAAGCTTATGCTTAGGTGAAGCTCAGGGCAAATAAATCCAGCTGGATTACACAAGAATTGTAGACATTTCCACAGTGTTGCTTCTTGCAGCCTGCAACTGTGCACAACAGTTATACTTTCGCTTTTTGGTCTTCAAAATCTCACAGGAGCAAAGGCGGACTTCATCCCCAGGTATCCATTCTACCCTGTTTTTGCCCACTTCATGGAACTTATTCGCTCTCAGCTTTACTTAAGCATCAGTTTCATGAATAGGGGAGCTTAATGACGGGTTTTTGTGGAACAGCTTTTCCTATGCATCAGTTTCATAAATAGGGCTTTTTGTAGAACAACTTTCCGTAAGCATCAATTTCATAAATAAAGAAGCCTAATGATGGGTTTTTGTGGGACAACTTTCCTAAGCATCAATTTCATAAATAAAGAAGCCTCATGACGGGTTTTTCTGGAATAGCTTTACCTAAACATCAGTTTCATAATAAATAGCAACGTGCACCAGACAAGCCGGTGCGCCATCATGTGTTTTGTGCAATTCAGCCCATCGAACGATTGCCTATTAATGATTTTCACTGCTTTGTACTTTTGTCTGTGCAAAAATAGTTCAAACATTGGAAAATAATTGAAGATTTCACGCACCAACG